TAGGCAATAAAGAGCCAGCTATTTGTGTAGACAATGAAGAGCCAGCTATTTGTGTAGACAATGAAGAGCCAGCTATTTGTGTAGACAATGAAGAGCCAGCTATTTGTGTAGACAATGAAGAGCCAGCTATTTGTGTAGACAATGAAGAGCCAGCTATTTGTGTAGCCAATGAAGAGCCAGCTATTTGTGTAGCCAATGAAGGGCCAGCTCAGCACCAAGAGCTATAAATTCAGTTCGATGTGCAGGCCTGTTTACCCGCAGGCAAGTTCTGAAGCGGCAATGAGAGTTTTCACACCAAAACATCCAACTGACTGTGACCAAAATATCTCACCAGGAAGGTAAAATAGCCTACAACCACAGAGCACATTCACACAGAAGAGGGATTTGCCGAAATAGTGAGTGAATAAAAAAAAAGAAAAAGTTAACGCAATTCATGCAGAGAGAAAATTGACTCAAAGGTTTTGTAAAGAAGTTAGGGAGTAGCCAGTGGCACGGCCTGCTGAGACTTTAGAGGGCTTAGACGAAAAGCATAAAGTTGACAGGGAGCACTTCTCTTTTTCTCACCACCCATTTCTCTCCCTTTTCCTTATTCAGTAAGGAGAGAAGAATATTGGGATTAAAGAACAGAAAGTGCTGATGCTTGTCGTCGATTGATATCTTGCGCGTCATCGATGGGCAAATGCATGCATAATTGCAATTACAGGGGGCCTCTGATCTGTAATCTTCCTGATTTCTTTCTATTGATGCCTTTGATTTATATTCATTAGCCCTTTGAACTTGCGAGAGTACATTTCACTTTCACCTTGGGGGTGAGTGAACGCTCTGTCACATTTCTTTTAAACCTGCTTCTGTCTCCGTGTGGAGTGTGGTTTGTATAACTGTATAAATCTCCTCTTTTTTTTGTGTTCAGAAGTAAATGACAGATAAGGTTTTTAGCAATTCATAGACCCGTGTGTTTAAAGACACGGGGGAAACGATGCTACTCTGGCTGTGCTATCAAAAGACTCCACTATGCTAGCAGGCATGCTAACAGGCTGCCCGATCGGCACTCTATATCGTGGTGAAGATATAGGAGTAAGGTTCTCGTCTACATTCCAAGACAAAAGAGCACCACTCCAGCTAGGAGGGAATCTGTGGCACCTCAGCAGTCTGCGGCTCTATTACTTTGACCGTCCCAAATAGTGGACACATTTTTTCAGTTTCTACACCAGCATAAGTTACTTGCGTTATTTGCGTCTGGAGCCGATAGATCCCCTTCATGTTTGAATTACATCAACGAAGATGAGAAGGCGCAATGATACTTAGCTTCTGGTGTTTAACGGCGAGGAGCTCGGCTTGTCGTCTAAACTGTAAACTGTAAAAGAGAAATTAAGCAAGTTAGTTCATAGTAAGTACGGACAAAAAAGCATGACAGGTGACCAGGTAGGTTGCAGCGAAGCACGACGACAGGGTGCCAACAGGAAACAGGTAAATCTCTTCAATTAACACAAACAAATCGAGGACTAGAATGACAAAGGGCTGAATGGCTGTAATTGCTGTAAACGGGGGATTCTTTGACGAACGCAAAGTTCAAAGAACACAATTATTTCAGCTAAAAATCATCATTATATTTCCTGACCATTTTGATGAAATGTCCCATTAAAACTAATTGCATGTACGTTTTGATTGGAGCCACGCACATATCCAAGTGACATCAAACTTTAGAACAGCAGCACAGGTAAAACAATGTTAGTAGCAGCTCTGGAGTGCCCGTTTACCCATCATTTCTACTTCCTCCATTGTTCTAAGTTGCTGCTGGTGTTCTGTTTCTGAAGTGCAAAGCTGTTTGCTTGTTGGCAGATGTACAGCTTTGTGACCCACAGTGGTGTGTACAGATAAGACAGATAACTACCTCTAGCATCATAAGACACTTCCTATCAAGATCTTCTCAAGTGCCGGGTCCAAAGCCACTGTCCCCGGTGCACAAACCTCTGCTTCGTGTATTTTGGCTTACTGCTATCTTGTACTCTCGTCCATCTTTTTCACAATATTTATCGATATAAGAAGAAACATGCCAAGAAATGTAATAATCCCCTGAAAGGCCAAGAGCACACAGACCCTGCAGTGCTAACTTCTTCAAAACAATGCTGGCCATCTAATGAGCATTTAGAAAGAGCAGCAAAAATGGCAAACCCATCATATCAAACGAACAGACAGTTACAACGAAAGTAAATACGTGCGGGAATGGGTACTGTTTGTTGTGCTGACCAGCGTCACAGCCGACCCACAACATCGTGTAGTTACAGTGCTCACGGCACTCATTGTTTACAGAACCGGTCTGCTCTACTGATCAGAGACGTTGAATCGAGTTCAAGAAGAGCCCTGTGGCCAAGAGACGTACGAACCGATGGGAACAGCCGGGCCAACGCTAAACACAGCGCCTGGACGGCCAGATGCTTGGCTACGTGCCTGGATGGATGGGAGAACGCGTCTGATCGATGACTTCCGCATTAGACCAGCTGTTGTACGTTACATACGTGCCACGAGAAGAACCGGGCCTTCAGGAGACCCCACGCTGAGATCAGATGGCATCTCAGATATGCACACGTGGCAGTGACATTGTAAAGCGCGCCAAGGATCCACACCGCTTTCCTGTGTGAGACATAAACCCATTTGAGGGATCGCACGTAGGCTCGCCTGTCACGTCGGCTCCAAACGGAACATGAGGAACGCGACACAAGAGCGGAATTGTCATCTCGTAAACGTTTCGCTCAAATGTTGTTTGCAAAGGAGACTGTAAAGAACAGATGTTCCGCTCACATCACGTGATGGGAAGATCTGTATTTAGATATCCGCCCGATGAACGGCTTCAGGGAAATGGATGATCCACAAATTAAAGCCGGAACTGTGCGGTGTGATAGCATCGGTAATGTCACAGACCTGTTGTTCATGGTCTAAACTGCTCAGATAAATGATATGGGCTATCGATAGACTTTTCAATTGAACACATAGCAAAAGTGTAAAACAGGCTCACAATTCTTAAAGGACATATCAACATATGGAGGGCAATTTGTGAATTTGGAATGCCGGCTAAATTAATAACGACATCCCGCGTGCCAGACAATGGCCTGCATTTTTCGACGACCCGCCAATGCAGTTCCGGTGAAGAAGCCTAAACGGAATCTAAAATTATATAAATCGTATCCCACAAGTTGACACAGATGCGCCATGTTAAATTGCAATGAATCATCATTAGTCAGATTCATTTGTCACTAGATTAATCCTGATGATGTGCTTTTGACAAAATACTCCTGTATGTGGTTTCATTTAACAGCATTATGGAAAGTGTCTGGAAGAATTCGCCAACAGTATCCAGATTCATCAAGAAAAAGCAACAACATTCCTAGATATATTTTGATGTTCGGGTCACATTTTCTCACGTGTCCGACGCACAGGAACGCTGAATAAAGCGTTAAAGTAGACGTGATTTACAGCAAAGAAATACTTTTTATTTTCCCGCAGCGGTTGTCCGGGAATTCTTTCTTCTTGAGGCAGCGTCGTTTTTATTGCCTTTTCCCCTTCAACCTGCTGTCCTCGTATGTCACTGACCGGGGGGAGTGCAAATTGGCTAGTCACCACCACTGGCGACGATGAACGCCTGCGCTCCTTCATCAGTGTCCGTATGTCACAGGGTGTGAGTGATTGCCTCGTTATCCGCCCGGTACATTATTCCTGTTTAAGCGTGCACCTGGATCGTATTTAAGCCGTGTTTTTATATTGGAGATGCAGTCTGCAGGTGGATGCTGTTCAGTCAGTAGACATAAAGTGACGTCCTGCTGGTATGTCGCGCTAGGGCACAGGATTAACTGGGTACTGTGCCATTGATGCCTGCTACCTGGACTACGTTGCTTGTTTTCCCTTACTATGTATATGTTAATTCTGTGATATGTATATATTTCAATTTAGCATGATTTAGCATCGGGAGGAAGGTGACGTTCACATGTGGCGCTTACAGGTTTTTATAAAGGGAGCCATACCTTAAGGTATGGAAAACTGTTCGGGTAGTTTGCTCTCTTTTTCCGTGCGGTTCACAAGCAGGCCTGCGACACACAGTGGCAGTTTTTACATAACCGAAGTGAAGCACGCACAATAGAATAAACAGCATCCATCCAGCTCGTCCCAAACTCCTCTGGAGCATGTGTCTTTATCCTGGTCTGCCATCTGCTTCTCTTTAACTTGGTCAATTACTCCCCGTAATCGAAAGCATCAGACAGCTTTGGAAAAGCACTCCAGCTCCATTTTAGCTGATAGGATGCATAACCCAATTGACGCTGGGCCCCAGAACCATCATGAAGATAAAGAGCTCTGGCGAATGGTCTCGGATGGGTCTGCGCTGCTCTCCACAGACGCCAGCCAGGGGTAGACGTCATTCAGTGCTCAACCACCACACCGGGATGGAAATGAGTACCAGTCGGTGACTGAAGAGGCCCTCAGAGTCTTTCTAATAGAGGGACATCATGATCAGACAGTTGACTGACAGCCAGGCAACCAGGCATGACGAGTTTCTTTGTCCCGTATTGTAGACGAATAGGTTACTGCAGGTTCCAGTGTGGAAGAGGAGAGTTAATGTGATTGCCATGCACTCGCAATGTTTTCTAAAAACCCATGGCATTGTTGTGCCCGCGAAAATCACTTAGCGATTGGCCTTTTAGAGAGATCGAAAAATTATGTAGATTAAGTGTGCCTCCTTATGTTAAAGGGTTAATGGTCGTTTAGCCAAGCGGATCGATGCTTCCATCCATTCTTACCGAGATGTCGGATGAGTCAGCGGTTCTGGGAATGGATTCGACTCAGTTGATTTTAGGGGAGAAACCGAGCATTCTCACCTTTTGCAGCTTCCTGTTGTATCGCTTTACCACTTCCTCACACGGTTCGTGTTCTACAAAGAAACTACATTTCTGTTCTTCTTCTTTTACAGATGACAGACCTTGAGGTAATGTAGCGACCCTGGTGGGTATCCCTATTTGGTGCAGTGGATAGTGCGCTCGCCTCTGGAGCCATAGGTTGCAGGATCGATTCCCCCCTGGACACTACAGTAAGTTTAAACACAGACTCTACTGTTCGAAGTTATGTGCTGATGATCAGTCGATGCAATGCCCAAACTGACTGGTGTATCATAACTGACTGGTCAGTGTTACCATATTTTATGATGGCTCATAATGTGACACGCATACATAGGACATTTGCTCTACAACACATTCAGTTCATCAAGCGCACGTTCATTGTTGAGCGAAATACGTGTAAAATAGATGTTATTGTAGAAACGCTCACATGACCATTGGGTTGGAGCATCTGAGCATCTCTGAGAGAGACAGACGTGTTTTCTGTCCATTTTCCCCGCTACAAGAAGCTAGCAACTGCTAACGAGATCGGTTGATTTACATTCCCACAAAACGTCTTCCATGTCGTCTCACCATGTTATGGTGATGAGTTATACATTATGCATATTCTGTTGTAGTCAAGCTGTGCCGTCGCTGTGTTCTCACATACCGCCATTGTGCAGATGCGTTATGGGAAATTGCTGTCTGTTTACAGTGTAGGACGAAGTATCCCTTCCGTTAGTTGCGCAGTCACAACTTGTGTCTGCTGTAATTATCTGTCAGCAGAGATCAGAACGAGTACAGTCTGTTTACAATCCTCCACATCGCTTAGACCCAACGCCCCGATCCCTCCCAAATCACCTTGCCGTTTTGTGGCTCATTGCATTTTCATCCTGCTCTCCCTCTCTCTCTCTCTCTCTCTCTTTCTGTCTCTTGTTCGCTCTCTCTCTTCTTAATGTCTCAATTTGGTTCCACCCTCACTTCTCTTTCTCATTCAATTAAATCCATTATTAAATCCAATCTCCTTATCTTCCGCTCAGCTGCCACATCCAGAGGTTAACACTGCCCGTATCTCCAACCTTTGTTACCTTGTAACAAAATCATATTAGTATTTTCATCGGCACGACGAAGGGGGAAATAAGTCAGAGTTGACCTAATATTTTGGCACCAACCCTCAGAGAGCTACAGACTACTTTACAGGGTAAAAAGGGACGATTTGTCTACAACTGTAAATCTGCCACAGATCTTAGTGTAAACGGAGTCATGGTTATAACTAGGTACAGGGTGTAGGGTACCATTTGGTATAGATTCATTTACCTTGTCCATTTTCACCATGCCATTAAGTATTCGCCAACTTGTTTCTTCATCTGAAAGGTATTCAAAAGTTGTGTCGGCAACAAAGTAACTGCATCGGTTTTCAATCTCAGCTGAAGACCACACCAAGTGTCATTTCTGGCAGCTAAGGCTACAATTTGCACTGGCCGACCAAAATTGGACAAAAATGGATGTGAAAACAGCCGTGCGGTAATATATCACAGAGCCTTATGTGTGTGTCTGTGGGCAGCCCCTGCCCTACACACATTATGGGAGCGATGGGCGCTTCATGGGTTTCAATACGTTGATATTACGACGATAGAATGAAATAGAATCAAAGTAATAGCCGGCAGAGAAAAAGATTGTTGGAAATTTGTCAAACGTGATTAGGGACAATGATATGGGACAATATTACTGTGGCCGATATTGTGCTCTGAATGTGATACCGCGTTCTTCTCCAGTAACGAGCGGAATGAGGATAATGCAAGAGGCTTTTTTTGAGATGTACCACATCTTGCTCTCGGAGTAGATTAACTCAAATTTGTGAGTTTAGGCAGCAAGTGTTTAAGTGTTTATTTGCGTGTTTGCATGCACGTGGGTGCAGCGGTTGGGACACTGAACACATTGTAACTAGCCTAGCAAAGACCTCCGCAGTCCTGAGCTTCTCCAGGCCCATGCGACTATCATCTCTGACCTAGGTCTGCAATTGTTTTTAATTAGTCCTGTCATTTTGACAGTAAACATCCAAAGAACTTCTTTAAGTGTTGCTTCAATTTAACAACTTTGGCCGATATTAGAGACAATTGCATACTCGATATGTTGTTTACAAATGAGGTTTTATTGGAGGTCCATGAAGATGCCAGTAACATATAATGAGACGTATGTGTTGGCAAGCAGACATATGTGTTGGCTGTCCGTGTTTGAGTTATCTAATGTGAAAGTAACTCAGACAGACTGGTCGTTTAACGAACAGCAACATTACGCAATAAAATCCACCCATAACAATACTGCTTCGTAGGGTTGTAAATCAAAGGCTTGTAGCTTATGTACCTTCTCCAACTGCAATTCAGTCTACTAGGTACCTATGCTAAACTTAGATAACAGTTAGCCTATCAACTGTTAGCATGTGTCTATTTGCCTTAGGCATTGATTTTACTGATGCTGGCAAGTTATCAAGGAGTTAAAAGAGATAATGACAACAGAGTGCAAATAAATGTGTATATTTTAATTAACTCTTGGAAATGTTTAACATTGTAGTATCGGAAACAAAAGCATTATATTGCAAGTAAAAGGTTCAAAGGTTTTCCTAAAACTCAATTAAAAGAAAGAAATGGCTTGTGTTTGTTGTGGTGGCCATGTTGTAGGGAATTGTTGAGTCACATAGGAAATGGCCTTAATCTTGTCATCAAGCCTTTAATCGTGCGCTATATTTACTGGAATACCGCTGAATTGTCACACATGTAATTTAGAAACAAAACAACAGCATTCTCGTTGTGCCGCTAGGTTTGACGGAGATTGTGACACACTATTTCAGTCAATGACAACAACTCCGCATTTTTCCCAGCCAACCCAGTAGTCATGGTCGGTGGGAATTAACTTGTTTTCTGTACCAAAATAACGTTTCTATCCAATCAGGAAGAAAGTGGCCTCGGGCATGCTAAACAGGACAGACCGGATAAGTTTAAATGGAAACATAATGACACGCTGTAAAGCATCAGCGAAACATGCTGTAAACGTTATGCTTAATGTGAAACCTACAATCAAATTATGGTAAAAATGTATCCATTCTAGTAAAGCCAGAACCACATAACCTGAAAGTCAATCATGTTTAGGCAGCCGCATATCGTTTGTCTATAATTTGTGAGTGGGTGACATATTAAAATGCACAGTATTTTTCTCCTAGGGTGGGGAGGTCCCAAACTGGCTGGTGGTGTACAGCCTGCTCTGACCACATTGGGTATATGAAGACACAATACGGAGGTTACAGCAGGAACAATGTTTCACCAACAAATTAGATGTCTCTTATAGGATTAGTATTGAGAATGGAAACAATCAGTCGTGGGGGGGGGGTCAAGGGTCAGAGGTCAGATGTCAGGTGTCCGAAGGCAATATACCAAACATATAACGTCAGACTGAAGAGACAGACGGGAACGGAGGAGTACGTTTTGTGAAGGTCAACGGACATCTATTGGGTTGCGTCCCTTTTGGGGGCAGGGACATTTTTCGGTCTCCCTCTCCCAATGGCACAATGACATCCGTCACAGTGGAGGGGGGGGGGCATGTGGACATAGAAACGCCACATTCGCACGCCTAGCAACACGACTACGTCGGAGAATCATTAGGAGATGGAGGGGAGGAAACACACACTTGCATTCGTTAAGGGAGGCGACAGAGAGGGAGACCGGCACGACGCAGAGAGACGAGTATGTTCGGGAGATCTGAGTGTGAGAAAGTTATTTGGTGAAACCGGAGCCTTTGTTTGGGTTGCACAATATCATTTTCCGCTTGCAGGCAAGCTTGTTCCCGTACTAACCTGTGCCATGCATACGAACACAGTGAATTAATCAGCAGTATTACTACTCCCAGACCGAACACATGGGCTGGATATTAGTCACATGGTTAATTAATCAGCAGTATTACTACTCCCAGACCAAACACATGGGCTGGATATTAGTCACATGGTGTATTAATCAGCAGTATTACTACTCCCAGACCAAACACATGGGCTGGATATTAGTCACATGGTGTATTAATCAGCAGTATTACTACTCCCAGACCGAACACATGGGCTGGATATTAGTCACATGGTTAATTAATCAGCAGTATTATTACTCCCAGACCAAACACATGGGCTGGATATTAGTCACATGGTTAATTAATCAGCAGTATTACTACTCCCAGACCAAACACATGGGCTGGATATTAGTCACATGGTTAATTAATAAGCAGTATTACTACTCCCAGACCAAACACATGGGCTGGATATTAGTCACATGGTTAATTAATCAGCAGTATTACTACTCCCAGACCAAACACATGGGCTGGATATTAGTCACATGGTGTATTAATCAGCAGTATTACTACTCCCAGACCATACACATGGGCTGGATATTAGTCACATGGTTAACTAATCAGCAGTATTACTACTCCAAGACCAAACACATGGGCTAGAAAAAAGTCCCGAGTGTGAAATGTGACCGACTTGAAGAGAAGTATTAGTATTTTTTCAGTCACCAAACTCACATGCTGTTTCATGTGATGCCACAGGCAGCAGCAGTCTGACTGAGTTACCTTCACATCAGTTAACTCTGCAACTGCCAAACACACAGAGATAGCAAACACTAATGCCTGCTTGAAGTGTTGGCGAGGCACATAATGAATATACAGTATATGAGCAAAATAAAGTGCTAATGTACTGTGCATGGTATGCTTAAAAAAGGGAACCTTTTATTCGAAAAACAACTGGTTGAGAGACAAGTCATTTGACATAAGGTATTTTGCTCTAATGCTTGAAGGGCTCTGTGGCACAGCAGTGTTTGTGCCATCTTTACAATAGAATGGAGAGAGTGAGAGAGGAGGATAGAATGGAGAGAGTGAGAGAGGAGGATAGAATGAGAGAGTGTGAGAGGAGGATAGAATGGAGAGAGTGAGAGAGGAAGATAGAATGGAGAGAGTGAGAGAGGAGGATAGAATGGAGAGAGTGAGAGAGGAGGATAGAATGGAGAGAGTGAGAGAGGAAGATAGATTGGAGAGAGTGAGAGAGGAGGATAGAATGGAGAGAGTGAGAGAGGATTGATAGAATGGAGAGAGTGAGAGAGGAGGATAGAATGAGAGAGTGAGAGAGGAAGATAGAATGGAGAGAGTGAGAGAGAGGAGGATAGAATGGAGAGAGTGAGA